TTATATAATAGATTAAGGTATGAATAGCATAAATATTTTAATAAAATAACAAGAATGAGACAGTAAGCAAGAAACCAGTGGAGCAAAGATGCTAAAACAACCATTTCTAACTAGGCTTGCGTTCTACAGTCAACACGGCTCTGATACCAATTTGTCACACCCAATTTTAAGGATAAAATTGAATGCACTAAACTCATGTGTGCCCAGGGATCAGTCACACACACAAGTTGACAAATTACAAAAGTATCATCACGGTGTATCTTACAACACGATTAATAATATCACATAGTCTTATACAACACAGCGGAAAATAAAAAGATAACTCTCTCATGGAAGCTCCAACACAGGAACGGCCAACTAGTTGACCACAAGCCTAATAGTCCTCAGGAAATTCCTCATACACGTTGTCATCTGTTACCCATCCGGGATTTTTATCCAAATATAGAAAGTAAACAAGCGTAAGTACTTCCCGTACTTAACAAGTTAACATGGGGTTATGAAGCTCAAAAAAGTTGACACTGGTTTACTGCAGTTAACACTTTTAGTAAGTCAAGATTTTATTATCAAGTTTTATCAAGTTATGCTTAAGCTCCCATTTAAACCCACATAATCAGATGTCAGAATCATTTGCATCATATTATCATCGTATACCATCATAAATGAACAACAATAAGTAACCAATTATTCTGTGAGTTTTTTGTGCCGCTCGTGACCGCGAGCACGGCTGTTATAACAGTTTGTAACCCTCTACAGAGGTGGTGCACATTCACCGCGAGTCATCATTCCCATATGCCCGGGTTAATTACTCCCATATCACTGCCAAGGTGAGCGGGCAGGGTACACTATGAAGCCACTTCATAGGTTTCCCTAACAAGTTAGGGCCGCTAGGTTTCCTCGGCAGGCAGATATAGGAACCCCCTTTCCTATGGCACATATCCATCGCGGTTATACACATAGGAACAGAGGCAGTCCTATACCCAATGTGGCAAGCCCCTTTTGCGCCATAAAGGTAACCTCTAACAAGCTAGAAAAGGTCCTATTACTGATCTAAAGTCAGAGCCATATGACCCTCACGGTTGCACTGTCAGTCCTAGCTTTTGCCGACAGATAAGTCCTTATGGAGGGCAAAGAGCATCATGATCGAAAGTCATTCGCTCCTTCGCCCTATAATTCAGTTGTTTAAAAGCCAATTTTACATTTTTTCCATAGAACCGTTATTCATTGTGTAAATCATGTACATTTACTTTGAGCGCTAGCAAACTACCCATATGCATATAACCCATAAGAGACAAGGAACAGGATAATCAATCACTAGGATGTCCTTACGGGTATCAAAATTAGACACATGCAAATGAGTAATTAAGGTGAATAGGCATCAAGGTAGATCCCATGCTATACTTGCCTTGGTTAGCAAACTCCTGCTGGTCATCAAAGAACTCTTGGTCTCCAACGTTCTCCTCACCGTCTGAACGCGACCAGCACGGCAACATACAACATTCCAAAGGCATTCATGCAAAGCAAACAATCCTATGGTTAGAACAGTACACCAACAGTAAAGAAAATAAGATAAAATATTTATGAAAAGAATCTACGTCTCGCTATGATCACGTCAACGCGAAGTTCACGAAAAACAGAGCTAAAACGCGAAAGTTATGAATTAAACGGGGTTTCCTATATCAATTTATTTAGCTAAATCTAACCTCAAAATTTAATTGTTGCAAATAGAGTTAAAAGTCGTATTAACATGTAGAGAACTTAATTGCGAACCTAACGAAATTTGAATGGGTCAAATTGGAGCTATAACGACAATTTTATAAGCAAAACAGTGCAATGGCATTTCTGTAAATACTGAAAACGTATTTTGGACTAAAACCGTTTACTTTACGTTTTCAAAAGGAGAAAGTATACTCGGGAAACGTGTTATGGACGGCGGGTTCTATTTGGCTGAACTCGAGGGACTCTAGCAAAATCACCCGCGAAAGGGCATCGGCCTTTCTGGGCCGTCGATCAAGCAACGGGTGGCCTGGATTAGATCTGGGGGAGAGAGGAGTCCGGCCGGGCACAGTAGCAGCCGCGGTGGCTCAGCCATGGCCGGCGGCAAAGAACACACCGACGAGCACGGTATAGTGGCTACGGGCCACGGTTCGAAGAACCGAGGACACCGGGAGAGCGAGGGGGTGAAGGGGACCTCGGACAGGCCGATACGGCGACCAAAGGACGCGACCGAGGCGGCGGTCTCCATGGCCAGTGGCATGGAGCTTCTCGGCGCACGCGGCTAGGGCTCTAGAAGCCACGAAACTCGAAATAAATGGCATGGGGAGGTAGAGGGAAACAAGGGGGTTCTCACCGCGGGGAAAATGAGGACGGAGACGGCTCGGGGACGGCTGTCCGCGTGGAGGGGCGGATGGCGGCGCCCTGTGAAGACCGACGACCATGAGTTAGTGATTGAAGGCGAAAAACAAGAAGATAAGGGCTGCAGGAGGTCCGTTACTTCTCGGCAAAGCTCGGCGGAGGGCCAGACGCGACGGCGAGGCGACGGGAACGGCGGCTCGCGCACGGCGGATCCGGCGAGCGCTGCGGCGGTTGCTGTGGCTTCCTTGGCTCGAGCAAGTGCGAAAAGGGAGCGGGGAAAGGCAGCAGGGGGAGCGAGGAAGGGCTCGGCTCCCTTTTTGTAGAGGCAGGGGCGCGGGGGAGGGCTCCCACGACGCGCGACGTGGGCACGGAGCGGCGGCGGTTGCGCTTGGACCGGGCGCTGCGGTTGCGGGAGGAGGGGGACGGCGCCGACAGGTGGGGCCAGGCGATCAGCGGCTGAGGCGCGGGGAAGGGGCGCGGCAGCGGCGGTTGCCAGCCGAGCTGGGCCGGCCCAGGAAGGAAATGGGGGAGGGGTAAAGAGAAGGCGCGCGGGCCGGCGGTTGAGTTGGGCCAGCAGGCCAGCCAGGCCGCGCGGGGAAAGAATGGCCAACAGGCCGAATTGAGGAAGAGAAAGGGAGGGAAAAATATTTCCTTTATCTTTTTCCAAATCAAATTTTCAAATGATTTTTTATTCCTTTTTAGTTTAATTCAAAACCACTCAACATATTGAATAAAATGCTCCAGTATGAGTGCATCAACATGTATATATCCTTATGATAGATTTTAATTTCACAAATTATTTTCCTATATTTGAATGCACACATAATAACATAATTAAATCAAATTTTACTTATTTTAAAAGAATGAAATTTTTGGAGTGTTACAGAAGCGGGGGCCACCCTCGCCGCCCGTGCGCGCTGAGACTGACGATGAGGCGACGAGGGCGGCCGAGGGAGCGGACGGGGGCGTGAGGGAGCGGATAGGCGCGCGGGGAATGGCGGGCGGCCAAGGAGGCGCGGGCAGCTTGACGGTGGCGGCGGGCAAGCTGGCGACGGGGAGAGAGGGAGAGACAGAGGGGTTTCTGCCTGTGTAGGTTTAATAGGTCGACACCATAGATCTTGGCTCCGAGGTCGACGCCACAGATCTTGGCTCCGAGGTCAGTGCCAAGATCTATGGCTCCGACTTACCGGGCACGTCAGTGCCACCTCGGGTGCTATGCTGTGCGCGGCCAGGCACCTCGGCGCCATAGGTAGTGGCGTCGAGACGTGTTACCTCGGAGCCATATGTTCTGGCGTCGACCTCAGGGTCCAAAGATCAGTTTACGTCATTTGGGAGGCTAAATGTAAATTTTCTTAAAAAAGGGGCCAAATTAAAAAAAAATTAGGGTAACAACACATATTCTATTGCAAGTGCTACCGCTACCATTGTAATACCGGCCTCATGTCGACGCGGTACCGACCATTGTAATACAGTAACTCACAGCAACCTTTGTGTTATTATGTACAGTACTGCAAATCGCTTGTTTGTGAGTGTTGCGCCTTTGTACAGCTACGCCAACCAAGAATGGGACCCGTACCCGTTTGCTTTAACCTCGACAACAAACGAAGCAACGAAATCAGCACTCCTAATTCGATGGACCACGGATTAATGATAGCGTGCTTTGGTCGTATCGGGGTACCGATTTTGTGTTTCTAGATGATCTAGATTCTAGAGCGCCTGCTGGAATCCAAACGGAAAGTCGAGGAAGTGGCACATTTCGTTGAAAACACCCGGTTGCTAGAATAACCATGCAATGTAGCGCGCAGACTTTTTCTAGACGTGGACTAACCACTGTTCCGTGCCAATCGGAGCGGAAGAACATTCCTAAAATTCAGCTTGAAAAACTAGACTTTCGATTACACCAGGTCACCTCCGAAGTTCCAAACAATGTTCATCCAACCAAAAAAAAGAGACTTAGGAGTGCACACCAAGGCAGAGTTTGGCCGGATGTCAAATCCACCACCACCACAAGTACGCAAGGCACACAAGAAGTGAAAAAACAAAAAGAGAAAGGAGGAAGCTGAAGCGAGTGACATTTGAACTCCCGTCCTCCGTCCCATTCCCAGCCCCAAGCCCATCGCCCCCACTGCTGACGAGTGACGAGCCACCAAGCAGATCCAGAGGTTGTTTTAAAAAGAAACCCTAATTCGCCCAAAATGGCATCGCCCCCACCGCTGACGAGTGACGACCACTTCGTGCCGCCGGACCAGATCCAGTTTCGCCCCGCAGCCGCAGGCTACACAACACAGACACAGCTGCTGCCGGTCTACAACCACCACCGGCGTAGTAGTCGTAGACCCGTAGTGCCGCCCGTGGCATGCCAACGCGCGTCGCGGCCGGAATCATCTCCAACCTGCCCGTCGGTACGTTACATTACTACTCACGCGCCTCGCAAACGAAACGACGGAAAACACGCGCCCCGCAAAGTCGTCCGCTTCCTCCGCTCGCCGACACGGCGCAAATCCCCACAAACCCCAAGCGGGCGGGCGGGCGGGCGGACTCCCACCCACACCCACCTCCTCGCGCGCCGACGTGCTCGGCTCGCTTCCAGCCGCCTCGCTCGCCGCTCGCCTTGGAATCCCCGCCGCGAGATCTCGTCCCCCGGGAGGATGGAGGTGAGTGCCGCTTCCTGCAACCCTTTCTGGCTTCTGCTGCTCCGTGGCGTCGGCTGTACTTCGGCGTGGTCGGCTGCGGGCTTAGAGGCCAAGCCGTCGGTGCCATTTCCGCGGCGGTTTTGCTTGGTTTGGGTCGGGAGACGCCGCTAGCGGGATAGCCGGATAGGCATTCTGCCGCGACTGCATTGCTCCCGTTTGGACGGTGGTTGCAGATTTTCTGGTGGATTTGGTGCCTGCGCGCCGTTCCTCCGGAAGCCTGCCGCCGCTGCTAGGAAAGTCTGGGTGCAAACCGAGTCCACACGCTGCACCCGCGGTTTCGTCTGTTTGTTGTTGGATTTTGGTGGTTTGGTGTGCTTGGCTGATGACATGTCGATTGGCTATTTGGCTGCACCTTTTCCATTTTTCTTCCAGGTTCGTCCATCTCCCCCAGATCAGAGGCTAGAAATGCCTGCTGTTCTCTACTGCTAGTACAAGTTACTCTGCTTGTCATTAGCTTGACTTTTGACAGCCCCGTGTTGATAAGAGGCGATTAGATCACTAGATCCAATCTTCAAGTTCGTTGGGCATGCTTCCTGCCAAATTTCGTGCCAGGGTTAGCAATTGATGATTTCTGCAATGGCTGCGAATACTAAACTGCAGGTTTCTGCATTTCCACAGGCTCCATTGAGACGCATTTGCACAGTCCTTGCTCTTTTGTTCAGTCCTTTCTATGTGCCTTTTTTGGGGTTTTATGTTTCAGGTTAATGAGTACTGCTGTTAATTCCTCTCGTACCTGTAATGTGGCGACGGGCTGACAGCTGGCAGCCTGGCACAAATTACCTGGATATCCAGCATAATAAGACTGGATCCATATCTGCAAATAAATATGCGGACCTTGACAGTGTAAATGAAAAAAATGACTTAATTTTGTATTTATGTGTCCCTGAGATTACAAAAATAGGTGAATAAAAAATTGATTGGAATATGGGTGTCAGGTTGGTCATAGTTTGCCATTTTATTTAAACCAAATCTTGGCAAGCATTCTTTTTGAATATTAGTTTCACGAACTCTCCTTATGTTTGTAACTACTGAACACCTACATAACTGTAAACACTTGATGTTGTTGACGCATGTCATCAGTGGTCTATGGTAACTAATGCGGTGCTTGTGTCGACATCACACTGCGCGCTTTCGTATTATGCATCTCTCATGTTACATATTTGGTGAAACATTTTTAGAGAAGATTATTGTGTTATCAAGTACATGTTCCTTTCCATCAGCTTTATGGTAGCTTGCTAAGAATCATATCCAATATGTTGTCCCATGTTTATGTAAATCTTATGTTGAAATTTTTAGAATATAAACTGGCGAACCCTCTAGGGATAAATTGACACCAACAGATTAGCTAGAGGTTATCTTTTGCCTTTTACCTCTAGAGTTTTCTTCTAAAAAAACACCACAATTATTCATTCTCTCTTCTCTCTGCTCTCCATGGTGTTCTACCTTCGATGCCACTGCCACCCTGGATTTACAAACTTTGGTGCGTAATGTTACTGCTATGGGTGGGCGAGGGGTGGCTTGGAGGCCAACCCATCTATCCTTCACATCAGGAGATAGGATTAGGAAAGAGGTTAGGTTAGTCAGTTGGTTTGTCAGGATCAATATCAAGCTGTTATAGGTAGCGGCTCTCTCTCTCTCTCTCGACACGGTGGTCATTGGGAATAAAGCAATGAAGAAGAATTAATCCCAAGTGGCCAAATCTCCCAATAGTCTAGTCCCCCTCCAAGCTGACTCTGCTTAGCTATATTCTTGGTAGTGTTTACCCTGATGAGCTACGGTTCATAACAGTTACAGTAGACACCTTTCAGTAAATTAATCTCTTCTGTCTGACAGCTGCCTTCACTTTGTACTTATGTCAGTTAGAACTTCGGATTTTTTTTTTCACTTTGGGCCTGAAATGTGTTGATTTTAATGTCACCTAGTGCAGTGATGTGTAATCACTACACTCATGTTTAGCTTATTACCTTCCATGTACCTACTCCCTCTGTCCTAGAATATAAGGTACCCAAGCATTCAATATTTGTCCCAAATTATAAGGGATTCTAAGTGAACTAATCCTCAAACTCACTTTAAAAGGCAACATTTACATGCATACCTACTATTAATGCCTATCACCAGCCCAGATGTGGTGATCACGGAGGATTACATGTGTCATTTGTTTTACCACATAAATATGTCCTAGAATTCTTAAAATACTTTGTATTTCAGGATAGAGGGAGTAGGTCCTAATTAAACCAGAGATTTAATCTCATTTGCTCATCTTTTCTTTCAGGTGAAAACAGTAAAAGTTAGCAACCTTTCATTAAACGCTTTGAAAAGAGAGATCACAGAGTTCTTTAGTTTCTCAGGGGATATAGAATATGTTGAAATGCAAAGGTAATTTGTCAGCACCTACACTTGTGGTTGTATATGCATTAGAAAACTGGAGTAATGTTTCTTAAATAGTTGCTTCTGTTTTCATCAGTGAATCTGAATGGTCACAGCTTGCTTATGTCACATTTAAAGACTCACAGGGAGCAGACACTGCTGTTCTTCTTTCGGTACGTTCAAGTTCCTGCAACTCATTTCTTAGCTTACCCATTTAGTTCTTTCTGTTGCACTAAGTTTAACTTTTTGTTTGATGCTATTTCATCTCATATCTTTTATTTTTTGTCCAATATACGGCTATGTTGTTGTTGTTGTTGTTGTTGTTGTTGTATATGGCTTTCAATAATTTGATTGCTTGTCAACAGGGGGCAACAATTGTTGATCGTGCTGTCATTATAACTCCTGCTGAGAACTATCAGCTGCCTCCTGAAGCACACAAACAATTATCGGTGAGAATATTTTACATGTTATGACATGCTCACCATTTCAAGTTACATCAATTCTGAAGAAATTAATTGACATATGGTCATCTATTGTAATAAGATTACCTTTATATCCTAAACTGAAGATCTAGTCTATTAGTAAATTCTTTGCACAAACTAGTTATTCTTGCAGAGGATTGAGTTTAAGGCAGATGTTCACATTATCAAGAAATAATTCAGCACTACAGAGAATGAGAAGAAAGTGTTTCTTTAGCAGTTCTAAACAAACTAAAACTATGCGTAATGGCAAAAATACCGTTGAATCAGGTAGTTAATTTGGATCTGCACGATTCCCAAAATAAATGTGCGTGTGATGTCTCTCAAGTCTATTATACACAAGTTTACGTACAGTCTGTTTAATGACCACCTTGCTCATAATTCATTTTCAGATACAGAAGTACTTTCCTTGAATATGTGTTGATATACTTCTTTGCATTTGTTTGCATCTTAAGGGAGCGAACCCCTCTACTGAATCAGCAGTCAGGAAGGCAGAAGATGTTGTCAGCAGCATGTTGGCCAAAGGCTTTGTCCTCAGCAAAGATGCTCTCAACTTGGCAAGATCATTTGACGAGCGTCACAACATCCTATCCAATGCTACCGCCACTGTTGCATCTCTAGACCGCCAGTATGGCCTGAGTGAAAAGATCAATCTGGGAAGGGCCATTGTTGGCAGCAAGGTCAAGGAGGTGGATGAACGCTACCAGGTCTCAGAACTCACAAAGTCTGCCTTGGCTGCTGCTGAGCAGAAAGCCAGCGTTGCGGGCTCTGCTATATTGAGTAACCAATATGTTTCAGCTGGTGCCTCGTGGCTAACAAGTGCATTCGGTATGGTAACAAAAGCAGCAGGTGACATGACCTCCATGGCCAAAGACAAGGTAGAGAGAGCTGAGGAGGAGAGAAAAGCCATCATGTGGGAGGAGAGGAATGGGCTGGTCAGCGAGTATGCAAAGATCCATCTTGACGAGCCCTCTTCATGGGAGCCCGCAGTTCTGCCTTTGGAATCAGTGGATGAGCAGAAACTCCAGACTGTCTGATCCACACAAACCGAATGTCAGTCGTTGCCACACGTAATTCTTTTGCAGCTCGTCCTATATATAGATTATTCTTTTCCGTTGATGCACTGGATCAAAACAGATGTGCTTATCAGCCATAGTGTCGTGTAAATTTCTGAAAGTTGCTCTTGTGTTATTACCAGGAATGGAGCACTGGATCAGAACAGATGTGCTTATTTCTTTTGTAGAGAGTGGTTATTACCAGGCTACCAGCTACCGTTGCTACACTAGACCACTCTATGTGAAATTGTGAATGGAGTGCTACTGTACTTGTCTCTACTACTACTACAGAAACAGAATACAACTTCCTTCGTTAGATACAGACTGATCTAATGCTGACTTGAACCATTTGTGCAAAAGGCTACTAAGATGTTGCCTGTTCAGTGTTTCTTAACGGTAATACCATGAATTCGTCGAAAGAAAACTTGCCTTTGTTTCAATAGCTTGAGAATTATCATGTGTAGGGGAAAAAAAAACATAACTCTCTATTGCATTACTAAAGATCTTGTCAGGATTAATCTATGCAGCAGACATTATAGGTTTTTATCCCGACTGTTGGCTCTGAGAAATTTCATGTAAAGAAAACTCCTAGGCGCAGTGCAGCCTGATGCTCCCATTCATCTGACATCTCCCCTCGTGCTTGACGACCACTTCTTTAGCCCTTGCAGCTGGTTCTTCAATGATCGTACCCTTACCCTAATTGATTGATTTATCTTGATGTTGCCAATGCTAGCGGGTAGTAAGGAGCCTCTGCTATTGGGTACAGAACATTGGCTGGCAATGGCTTTCTGCAAATTGCAGGTTGGATGTGGATTGGCTCGAGGAAAAAACAAGTCGCAACTTGCACAGTGCTGATAAAGCTTCCTACGCGTACATACGTTGACAGCCGATAAAACCTGTAGCCAACAAGATCCTCACACGTGTCACGAGCAGCCAAGGTCATAATCCGTATAACCAAATGTAGCAGCCATGACCAATTTGGTCATTTTTAGGTGTGATGAACATGAACTCATAATAACCTGGTAACATTTGGACCAAACGTGACGCGTTAATTAAACTACAATATACTACTAATAATGGTCTAAAGGCCGTGATGGTCGTGCCTGCCCTCCTACGGTGCGCCCACATTCGTTCAAGACTGCGCGCAGGACTCAAACCGTCAAAAATTCCTCACGTCGGTGCATTACTTTGGTGGCTTCTTGATGGCTGGTAGCGTGGCCATCAGCATGCTGTCTCTTTCGGTCTCATCCATTTATCTCATTTTCTTACTCAAGCGATCTGTCTTCGTAAATATCTACGAGCTTGGCCGATCATAAACTGAAAATTGTACGTCACGTGAAATTAAAAGATGCAAGTGTTCGTCACTGGCGGCGCTTCCAACCTCCAAGTGTCTTGGGTAAAATATCGAATCAAGCTTTAGACGGTTAAAATAACCTCAATCTACCGCACTCCAATATATAATCTTATCACCAACACATACACATTTGCCATGACCTAATCACAGCCTCCACGAACAATAATAGTCATCCTTACTTGGAACAAGGGAGTCGTAAAACGCTAGGCCCTTATAAAAAAAAGGACTAGATTGTGGTTGGTGTCGTAGTTTACCACGCATAGCGTTCGGCAAACTGCTGTCATAGAAAGTGTGGCGAGTAAAATCAAAGCCACCCTCGTGGCAAAAGTTTGGCAAGAAAACTAAGAGCATCTCCAAGAGTATCCAATAAATTCTTTCCCAAATCACGAAGTTTTCCAAACTGCTAAAAAGTATTAGGAGGATAAAAGAAGGATTTCTCCGACAGTTTCCAAAAAACCACTCTAAACTTTCTACGTGATTGTTTATTTCAGGTACAGTATGTTAGTTTAGTGGCATTTTTGTAAATTCCAGCATCCTCTTCCCGAGGAACAAGCACGTACAGAAGAAAAGTGATTTATTGGTGTTATTTTTAAGTTAACTAATCCAACCTTCGGTTGTTTATTACTTTTTATTTACATGTTCAGTTTGAATAACTGAAAATCGTATAATAATTTGTCTTAAAATATAGTTCCATAAAAATAAACTTTTGGTATATGTTGTTTGAATACTTATAACAAAAAAATGTTAGTCAAAGTTGTGTTTTGTAAACCATGTGAATGTCTCAAATGTCATTTTTTTGTGTCTGGATTGAGTAACTATCTTACAAATAATGACATGCAAAATCTCCAAAGCAGTCCCAAGCCTATGACCAACTAGTCTTCCATCAACTCTAAGTTCCTCAAATTTAGGAGGACTACGTATATACATATATTCACTTAGCTAATGAAGCTAAGGAATTTTGAAATGTTAATATCATTTATAAAAAAATAAATGAAATAACTAATTTAAATGTCACAAGCCATTCTCAGTGCTAGATTTCATGGCACTGTTTTCAAGAGTTACTAGTAAAAATTGAAATAAAACCAGACCAATAGTGAATAGTTCATTTTACATATTTAATTATTGTATGGTGTTATAAAATAAAACATTCCCAGTAAAGTTTCATTCAGTTTTCAATGAGTGTGGATAAAACAAAGCGATTCTAGTGGAGTTTCATTATTTTGAATGTGCTGGTAATGCACACTAGTAGATTTCATCTAGATGAAACTTATCTCCTCTCTCTCCTCATAATTCTCGTGCCATGTAATCATTTTTCTGACGTGTCATCTCATTAAATACAAATGAAACTTTCACTGAAGCTAGCCTCAACACAACCAGCCGCATAAAACTTGAGCTGAGTCGCACATTAGTATTACTGAAACATTAGTAGATAAATTAAGGCAATTGTCCAGCCATAAAATAAATTAATGCACACTAGTAGATTTCATCTAGATGAAATTTATGTCCTCTCTCTCCTCATAATTCTCGTGCCGTATAATCATTTTTCTGATATGTCATCTCATCAAATACAAATGAAACTCCCACTGAAACTAGCCTCAGCACAACCAGCCACATGAAACTTGAGCCGAGTCGCACGTTAGTATTAATGAAACATTAGTAGATAAAGTAAGGCAATTGGCCAGCCGTAAAATAAATATTGAGGAAGTCACATTAGGCCATTCTCTGTGCAAAGTTTCATTATATGATTTCTAAGACTACCACATCATCTAGAGGTTGGGACTATTTGAATGAAATAGAATCTCTTAGTGCATACTCCCTCAGTCCCATAATAAGTGTACTTCTAGAGTTTATTTTTTCCCCAAAATAAAAACACATCTACATACGAGACAAACTAACTCTTTTGTCTTTTTCTACTTTCTCTCCTCCCAAAATGCAATGGTTACAACTTTATAGGGGTATATATATAATTTCTCATAAGCATTGGTATCTTCACCATAATTCTAAAAGTACACTTATTTTAGGACGGAGGGAGTAGTTTCGTCTCACGGTTTTGCTAACAATAGCATTTAATTATGACGCACAAGATTTATTAGATGAAATAAAACTCTCTAACCCTTAATGCCAGATTCACACATTTCATAGTTTTGGAAACCGTGTACAACCAGTTCCATCCGGATAAAACCCACCTCTTCTCTTTGTTCCCAAATTTCTTATTCCATCATTGTTGCTTACGTGGCATGTCATTTAATAAATTTGAAGTCTCTATAAAACCTCCATCGAGAATGACCTTATAATCCTTTAATCAATGCAAGATAAAAGAAAAAATTCATAAATTCTATCATTAATTCATGCATGAATGAAGTATAAGGTTTATAGTACTTTGTTTTAATCGGGCTAGGTAATAACATTACATTGATTAATGTTAATTCTCTTAAGTTTTATAAACAATATAACACAACTATTTTTAATCATAAGCGTTGGAGTTCTCTAACAAATAATATTTGTAATTTTTATACTACTAGTAATCCCTCTGTCCATGAAAGAATCAATTTCTAACCTAAAAATTTATCTCTTGTAGTCTCGATCACATTTAATATAACCTCTCTCTCCCGCACTGCTATTAGATACTTCAAACAACACTATCGTAGAAAGCATTTGAGTTGGATAGCGGATATGGCATTAGTTTTGCTTAAAATGATCAAATCTTGGACCCTTGGTGTTCAATCGTGCGGACTTCCGTAGTTCCGCCTGTTATATAAACAAAACAGCCCTTGCTTCACTAAACACACATCGTCAAGCACTCGAAAATGGCAACGGCAAGAGAGAGAAGGCTGCCACAGCTAAACCTCACGCTCGACATGCCCTCGTGCTCCTCTCGATACCCTGCCTTGGCACCCATCGCTGCGCCGAACCCGTCCACGTCCGTGGCACGGCACAGTGACTTCCGCCCGTCTGATTTCGAGAGGCTCGCCATCCTGGGCCGTGGAAACGGCGGCACCGTATACAAGGTCTCTCACCGCGGCACGTCGGCGCTCTACGCATTAAAGGTCCTTCGCGGCGCCGAACCCGCCGCGGTTGCCGAGGCGGACATCGCGTGCCGCGTCGACTCGCCGTACATCGTCCGATGCCATTCGGTCCTCCCAACGGCCTCCGATGACGTCTCGCTCCTTCTCGAGCTGATGGAAGGCGGCTCACTAGACTCGCTCGTCGTCGGTCACGGAGGCCTGCCGGAGGGAGCGGTGGCGGAGGTAGCGGCGCAGGTGCTGTCCGGGCTCGCCTACCTCCGCTCCCGCCGCGTCGTTCACCGGGACATCAAGCCGGCGAACATCCTCGTCAGCAGAGCCGGGCAGGTCAAGCTCGCGGACTTCGGCATCGCCAGTGTCGTCTCCCGAGCCGGCGAACACTGCGCCGCCTACGAGGGCACGCCCGCGTACATGAGCCCCGAGCGCTTCGACACGGAGCGGCTGCAGGACGGCCACGCGGACCGAGCTGACCCCTATGCCGCCGATGTGTGGAACCTCGGGGTGACCGTCATAGAGCTCGTCACGGGGCGGTACCCGATGCTTCCGCCAGGGCAGACGCCGAGCTGGCCTGCTCTCATGTGGGCCGTCTGCTTCGGCGAGCCACCTGCCCTGCCGGACGGCGTGGCGTCGCCGGAGCTCAGGGGTTTCGTGGCCGCGTGCTTGCAGAAGGACCACCGTAAGAGGGCGACTGCCGTGGAGCTTCTCGCGCACCCTTTCGTCGCCGGGAGGGACGTGGCGTCGTCGAGGCGTGCCCTCCGCAAGGTCATTCAGCTGCGGTGTTCATAACAACGTCGAAAAAAAAAGAGAGATGGATTCTGTTGCGGTGTACAAATTAGGATGTACTCAATATATGTACCTAGTGATCTAGTACTAACCTTAGACATCTAGCTCAAGGTTGTCTCTTTTTTTTGGCCAAAACAAGAGAAACCATTAGGCTAGATTATTCTAGTAGAAAGGTAACTAAACTAGCTTAAGGTAATATGAAAATAAATTAATCTAGCTTAAGGTAATAAGTGGGAGGAGTTTGCACATAAGTATTTTAACTTCTCTTCAGAAATTGAAGCATATAAAATTCTGTGAACTCCTCCTGGTCATACCTAAGAAAATACTATGTCATCGGCAAATATCTTGTTGGCTAGGTATTGTATATGCTAATGCTAGAGAACTCGATTGATCAAGATCATAATACCAATATCACCAAGGAAACCTATATTCATTGGTACGTTCTTGCTCATGCCATAGACAGTTTTTAAGGGAAGGAGAATTATATTAAAACTCAGTATTGTATATCTCAAATACACATAAAAATTTTGAAATAGAAAAAAAACAATATTCTGTTAGATTCTTCATTATCTTCTTCCCTAGTGTTTTTTCTTGACGGAGCCGAATGTTCTAGATGAACAAAGTCGCGTTAAACACCAAAACCAGTGTGCAGCGCTCATGTTGAACCCACATATCAATCCCATAACATTGGACATGCTGCAAGATCCAATGTTCTACAACCAGTCCAAAACACATCAATGAAAAAACATCGTGGATTGAATTGTTAGGTTTGGATTCAACATCTCCAACCACTGATCTGTCATGTTAGACACTTGATTTTCTCTTTGCGATCATTGACGATGAGGTTGATGACTAAGAGTTACTGTCCCCGTGGGAAGTGCCACCTCCCGCCGATGTAATCGACACCTGTAACGACGACCTCATCATGTCCATCACTAAAGTCATCGTAGACAACAAACATATGACTGGAAATCAGTTGATCTCGCCAATATATTTGTATGAACTAAAACTAAACAAGTTTGATCTAAAGAACTGTTAATAAACGAGAGATGGGTTTCCTCTCTAGCGCTGTAGCTGGTCTGGCAATAGCCAATAGGCCTATCACACATGTATGTATGTACAAGAGTGCAAAGCAACCTCGCTGCCATTTAAAGAAACAGTAATATAGGGAGTGAAAAAATATTTTACATGCGCAAAAGACTGTAAATTTGCACATTTCTCTATCCTGATAATCAAGGTCTGCCATTGATACTCACCCAGGTATGGTATATGTTGGAGTCACCTGTAGCAGAACGAAGTACGTAGTGAATGCATGCATCTTCACGACGAGAGGGATATGCATGGGAAATTACTTCGGCGGAATAAGCTAGCATACGATCGATATCATCAGGCAATTAATCTATCGCCGCCCTGAAAACTAAAATATACAATGGAGCATAATAAGCTATGTTATGTTTATTCCAAATGTATCCTGATCCTTATCTCGGTATATCTCTTTTGTGGCACCATCATCTCAGTCATCGCGGAAAGAACTGGCTAACAGAACCGACTGCAACAGGTATGATGCACCTGTCAGAGCAGGCGGCGGCTGCTTTTTAAATCGCCATTACTGGGCAGTGAAGAACTATATAGATTGTGTGGCCATCGATCACTCGTCACGGCAGATATTAAGCTAAGTATGTGCTCAGGCATTGTAACAAAAAAGAAAGATTCTTGTGACATATAGAATTAGATCCAGGTATCTGATGATACCGTGGCCACCAAATACCCGCCAAGGGTTCTAAACAATATGATCCTCACAACATTGTGTGCATCGTCTTGGAATTGATAGGCTGTTACATACATAATCTTGTTTTCTGAAGATTTGGTAGATGCTGAAGAACCACCACAGATGCTAGTGCTTATTAGCCAAGCAACTGTTTTTTATTTCATCATAATGAATTAAAAAACATTTGTTGTGTGTAATTTCTCTTCCTGGATACTGTTAATCCAAAACCGCAAACGTGATACACAATGTGAGGGCATGTACTTTACCACCCAGCTCACGGTGATGATTTCGCGGCTGCAACTTGCTCCAGCTTCGGGGGAGTAGGGGCTCTCTGTGTATGGTACTGCTGGTCTCTCTCCTGTCGGGCATGAATCTCAGTGTGAATCTTGTGATCCACAATGTGAGGACATGTTCCCCTAGGGGCAAAATTTACTTAACCTCCCAGCTCACGGTGAGGGTTTTGCGGCTGCAACTTGCTCCAGCTTCGGGGGAGTAGGGCTCTGTGTGTATGGTCCTGCTGGTCAGCTTTCAACGCCACTACTGCGTGCGGACATGTCAATGCGCCATAGCAAGCTTCGGCAGGTGACACTTGTGCCACTGATCGTCTGACCCGCACAATAACACCCATCCATGCAATGTGATGTGACGGTTTAATTAGGTCTCGTAGAGAGCTCCGGTTAATTTCAGTTCTACAATTACACAGTCTATCTCCTCAAAAACAATTAAAAGCCCGTATAATGATTATTTCTTAGCTTCATCATTTGTGACATAGGGGTATTTGGATCAGGGGCTAATAATTAGTTCCTGTTTTTTATACCAATTAGAAAGGCTAAATGTAGACTAATTCTAGGCTAATAAGAGCTAATAAGGGTTAATTGGTAGTTAGAGTCCATTAGCCTTTATTAGCCCATGTTTAATCCATTTTCATAAGGCCCTAGGATCCAAACAAGCTCTTATTCGCGCATTGTAGCACGGAGCCTGCAGAAGGAGAGCCTGGTTCCTTGAAAAATAGGAGGCACTCAAATCTCCTCCCTCTTCCCTCCTCATGTCATCAAGCGTCCTTGGAACCATCTAACCTATTTTTGTTTGCCTGTCTCTACCATCCTCGTCTCAAAATTTGATTAACGCTAGCTAGATCTGTGCTCCCCGCTACTAGGAATTACCTCTCCAACCTCATCCACGCTTGTTCACCAGCTGAAATTAATTCATTGTCGGAACCCTAGCCCCAGCCTCCGTCTACCTCTAGCCTTCAGACCTCTTGGGACTGATGACCCTGAGCTTGAGCTTCGTCCAATTGGCCGTCCCAAGCACCGCCTGACCTCGACCGAGCTCAGTTTGCTAGACCATCTCCAAGATTGACTCTTTTCTAAAGTGTCAGTGACATAAAGGTGCCACACACATTATAAAAAGTAAGGACCTGATATTTGAGGGTTCTTTAGAAGTAGAAGAGACTTCCAATCAAAACTAAAGGTTCTTATTTACTAATGAGTTATATATGCATGGTATATTGTATATAAATTTCTTTTTTGCGAATCGTGTATAGCATGCAGACACTCATACATTAAGCACACTCAACCCTATATGAGGACACACATATACATTCAATCCCTATGAGCACCTCCGAAAGGCCAGGAATGAGCCGATATATATTTTTAGATTGACGAAGTCATCACCACCTATGTCTCACTATCGACGGGCACGTCGCCTACCACTGAAAGAATAAAGTCATTAAATTTTAGAATAAATTCAGAAAAATATGATCGAGCATTCATGTTAAGTCGAGAACTTAGATCCATGTAGATAGGTTCCATGGAACCCCAACCAGCTAAAACACAGCCAGTTGAGGTACACCAAATTCGTTTATACATGAATTACTTGGTGAACATAATAATCATGTTATAATTAAACTAGCAATTACAGATCGGCCATGATTATGCCATCGATCGGTAGATTAATCGATGTCGTCGCCGTGGAAGGTGAAGACAGAACGGTCGACTCATGACCCTCTGAGTGAGACGTCGTGGCCAGGTTTTGTTTCGATCGACCGAATCAGCCTTCGATCGAATTAAGGCCAGGAGGTCACTATTCTAGTACGGCCACTCAGCCTGACAGCGACAGTGAACGCGTGACCGTGATCGTTCGTTGATTGCCTTGCCTGAGAGTACATCAAATCAAAGCATCATCATCCATGCATGTAGGCAGGCATGTAGCCGTCACGCGTCAAATGGCTGCTTTGTTGTTTGCGTCTCTTGGCTTGATTCCATCCAATGGAGGATAAAGCGCCCGAACCTGGCGTCACCCATTACTTAACATCGTTACAGTTACAGCCTGTGTGCGGAGGTTACATACTAGCAGATGACGTAATACCTGACGCTTATTCGAGCATTGCCCCGTTTTTTCTGTGTAATTGCCATGCATATATATAGTCCAGGCGGTTTATTAATCTATACACTGTACCTGTAGTGTTGCTTAAATTTAACAATCAGAGTTTTAGGGCCAACGAATCAGCTATGTGCTTGTGCTTAAGCAAGAAAAACTTGACGTTTCTCTTTGACACACGAGAAACCTTCCGGTGTTCCCCGAGGAATACCCTGGAGGCTGGAGTAAATCAAAACCCATGAATGAACACAAAAAAGAAAAATTGTGGCCTTAGAACCTAGAATCTTTTTTAGTATAAGAAAAATATCAGATTTTGAATAAAAGATGTCATAAGCATTAGAGTTTTAATTTAACACGTGGATAAAAAAGTTGCAATAGCTAATCAGATCAAAAGTTGAAAACTAATATATGGATTCATGATGTCTCGGAAAGAGATGAAATAAATGCTTATATATATATATAACTTGTTTTAACTAAATACATATTATGCTAAAAAAATAGAAATCCTAGAAGTTTCGGATTACAGGTCCATGACAGAACCTCCATCTTAATTCTCACTAGCGTACTAGAGAAAAAAAGAATAAAGCATAGAAATTCTTACAAGATTATAAAGATACATGACCATTTATATATGCTATCGTAGTACTTAAAGAGTGCAGTCTATGATCTAAAATGTTTGTTTTCATAAATACAAAAGGAGGGTTAATAAACATAAGTTTTAATTTAACTTATAAGGATAAAAAAGATATGTATCAACTCACAAGATCAAAATTTGAAAATCAAAATCTAGAGTTGTGCAAGAGTACGATTGGTGGACTAACAAACTTAATTAAGGTTAGAGAAGTTTATAATTAAACAAAATTAAAATAGAAAGGGAGTACGTAACAATGCAAAAAATTAATCTTATCACATCTATAAATTATTTTTGTTACGGTAACGCCTTTAGCTCATCTGGTGCCTGACCCTTGCCCTCCCTAGCCATATTTAACCGCTCCCTGTCCTGGCCGTCGCACAATATAACCTCCCATGACCTAACCAACATCATGGGCATAGCGTGTCAGAAAATCATTTTAATGGTAGTGTTTGCTAAAAACAATTTATTTATTGTAAAATCAAAGGAATTTCCTACGCTCTCCAACGGCAAGAATGAAGAAGTAAGCACTTGCGTGTGCGTGGCCAGGTACTTTGGTACCAGCGTACATGTAAAACGGTGAACGTGACCGGAATGCTAGCTTGTGCACATACGGCCCTGCATTTTCCAGTGAAACAGCTACCGTGGTTAACTAGGTGGCGTCTTTACGTTCTACTAGGTGCACCCATCGACGTGACAAATGACGGTACGTGTTCTGTGTCCATCAAACTTATCACAAGCCGTGTATTCTTAGTATGCTGACGTCATTTTGCTACGTCATCTCAATTCATCGCTTTCTTTTCGTTTTTCTTTTGATAACTTCAAGGATGGCATTCGAATGCAAGCAAGCTAGCAACGCGTTACAAGATGAGGTTAGGATCGATTTAGGAGATAGGCGGGAGTAATTGTTGCCGCTATCCATCCCAACTGCCAATTTTTTTTTATCCTTCTTCTAGCCAGAGTAGGATCATTGCAACAAAGACTGTCCGTGCAGATTTCTAACTACATCTGACTATCAACCTTCAGTTTCGACAATATCTCGAGTGCTATTTGCAAGTGGTCGACAATTGCTGATCTTGGTAAGTGTATAATTTGGACATTGCCTAAGGGTGAAACCAAGTTGCTAAAATATTATATCAAGTAATAATTCCCAAAATGATCATAGCATGTAAAGAAAAAGAATATGCCAAATGCCCAAATGTATATCATGGTCAAGCTAGGTTATGTTGTTATGCTACAATGTTTAGTTATAGCACCTTGGTAGAATAGGGAAAAACTGAAAAAAAAATTAAGTTGTATAAATAGTAAGCCTCTTTTCATTATTCCAAGCTTAATATGAAATCTTTTTTTTGTCATAGTGCGGCAGTCATCTAAATTAACATTAATGGAGACCACACCCGGTGAAACTGGTCCACTTGGGTTTAAGTCATGGACTGGACACGGATGTTTATATATTTTTAGATTTATTCATGGATTTAACTATTTTTCAGTGGTAGATGATGTGTTCATCAACAACGGGGCTCTTGTGGTGAGTTTGAGTGTATGTATATGAGTGTCAAAGTATGTACTTTGGGATTCACAAAAGAAATTAGGAACATATATGGATTAACATCCAGTTCAGTCTATGAGACTTTCACAGTGACGAGCGTGCGTGTATGTATATGAATGTTTTATGAGACTTTCAGCAGCTCCGGCTCCAGCTGACACCCTGCGACGAACACTGTAGCACCACTGTAGCAGCGGAGCTGTTTTTCTCTCTCTACCTTTTTCCTCTCACTGTAGTGCGGTTATTGTTCACGGAGCCGGTGAAGCTCGAATTTCTGGCTCCTCCAGCTTCGGTTCTGACACGCTACAGTGTGTGAACAGTGCAGGAGCCGAAGCCTCTTGGAGCCGTACAAACAGGTTCATGTATCTCTGCGGTATGGGGCACTATTGCAAGTGGCTCCACATGTCACTGACAATTAATGTGATTCTTGTCCTCGCGTGAGGACCATGCCGGCAAACTTGATTCAACAAATATCGTTAAACCATGCTAAAGCAATCCTTAATCCCTTTATTTATGCACCGTCCTTGTTGAAGAATCTTGTCCTCATCTTTTTTATCTTCCTATTGTTTCATGTTAGTCCCTAGTAGATTAGATTACTAAACTGTGTAAGAAAGAGCTATGCACATGTGTACAAATGTACAATCCTACGCCTTTGTGTGATCAATCTAATGCCTAAGCGGCGCTGCCAGTTCAGGCTCCGCCCACCAGTCGCCGGAGCGCGTCTTTGGAGGCCGCGACGTCTCTTCTGGCGACGAACGGGTGCGCGAGAAGCTGCGCCACAGACGCCCGCTTGGTGTAGTCCTTCTGCAGGCAAGCGGCGACGAACGCACGGAGCTCCGGCGACGCTGCGCCGTCCGGCAGCGACGGCAGCTCGACGAAGCAGATGGCGCACATGAGCGCCGCCCAGCTGGGCTTTTGCCCCGCGGGGAACAGCGGGTACCGTCCCATGAGGAGCTCCAGAACGGTGACGCCCAGGCTCCACACGTCGGCGGCGAAAGGGTCGGCGTGTCCGTGGCGCTCCGTGTCGAACCGCTCGGGGCTCATGTACGCGGCGGTGCCCTCGTAGGCGGCGCAGTGGTCGCCGGCGCGCGAGAGGACCTTGGCGATGCCGAAATCGGCGATCTTGACCTCCCCGTCGGCGCTGACGAGGAGGTTCGCCGGCTTGACGTCGCGGTGGACGACGCTGCGCGCGTGGAGGTGCGCGAGGCCGGCCAGCGCCTGCGCGGCGACCTCGGCGAGCGCGGCCTCGGGGAACGCAGCGCCGCGCCGGGCCGCGACGGCGTCCAGCGAGCCGCCGTCCACGAGCTCGAGCAGGAGCGCGACGTCGCCGGGGGACGCCGCGGGGAGCACGGAGTGGCACCGCACGACGTGCGGCGAGCTGTCGGCGCGCCGCAGGGCGTCTACCTCCGACGCGGCCCCGGGGTCGCCGCGGTGGAGCACCTTGAGCGCGTACAGCGCCGACGTCCGGCGGTGCGCAACCTTGTACACCGTGCCCCCGTTCCCGCGCCCCAGCAAGTCGAGCCTGTCGAAGTCCGAGAACCGGAACTCGCCGCTGGCTCGCGACGCGGACGTCGAGGCCGCCGGCTGCCGGTTGGGGTTGGGGTGCCGGAAGGCGCACGAGGGGACGTCGAGCGAGATGTGCAGCTGCGGAAGCCTCCTCTCTCTGACCGTCAGAGCCATTTGCACACTAACCAGGAATTGCTTGAGAAGTTGAGATGATAAAGGGAGGATTTTTGCAACTGGTATGGTCTGCTTATATACTCAAATTTCCGATTAATTTAGCATTTGTGCTGATTGTGCTAGAGAGTGACAGGCAAGGACCGGTAATTTTCTGATTTGTTTTTTTTTTCATTTTTTGCTCCAAGATTTTTACTTGGAAAACGATGGCGAACTTTCGGCTCGGTGCAAGCATTGCATATTTGCATCGCGGGTAGGCGTCGAGGGCCGGTTTGTAAAGCAGCTCATGAAATTTCTGTCGCATCGAATATTTGATATATGCACGGAGTATTAAATATAAACTAATTATGAAATTAATTACACAACTTGCGACTAATTTACGAGATGAATCTTTTAAACCTAATTAGTCCATGATTTGACAACGTAGTGCTACATTAAACACGTGCTAATGACGTATTAATTAGGTTTAAAAAATTTGTCTTACAAATTAGCCTCCATCTATGTAATTGGTTTTGTAATTAATTTATATTTAATACTTTTTATTAGTATCTAAATATTCGATGTTATATGAATTTTATGAGCCACTAAATAACCATACGCCCTCTAAAAAAACGTCGAACGGGCATATCTCCAAACACCTTGGGCTCTCTAGCTAGCCTGTGAGATGGAGACAGCAGTGTAACCTACGGCTCGTAATCTTCAGCCTGTTTATTTTGTCGTAAACGATCATGAATTATTTACTATTGGATGGTTTGATATGAGAAAAAAATACTATTTCAATTTATAATCCACGATCATATACGAACAAGCGAACAGACAGCTTATAATAGCCGTCAGCGTAGAATAGCAATGTCATTTTAAAACTGGGAGATCAGCCGAAAAGATCCCCTGGACTAGATAATCATTAACGATTACACGGTAAGTAATTAGCAATTCAGCACGCCTACACTTATTTTTCCTACGAAATTAATTACACTTTGGATTAGCTTGATGGAACGAGAGGTATTATCCAGCCAGGCTGCGACTGGTCCTAATTCAACAGAGGAGTCAACAAAGGCACTCCATTCCGGAATGAGCGCGTGTTGGGTAAAAAATTACTTGAGCATCAAAGTTTTAACATAAGATAAAGGCTCGTCTTATGAGTCATACTATTTTAGCGAATGAACAGTATTTTTCTCTCACAATAAATCAGCGAACACTACTTTCCGCCATGGCTTTTCAGCAAAGCGAACAGGACCAAAGTTGTATTCATTTTATCCTCGTCTTATACATGTCAGAAGGGGTATTTATAGGGGACTTAGTCTTCGTATTTTATACAAAATGACTATTTTACCCCTAACTCAAATATTTACAACCCTTTTCAACTAAAAGGGTGAAATGGTCTTTTTTTCCTTCTGAGTCTTCGTTCTCCAACTTTTGGCCTTCAATCTTCTTTGTGTCTTCGTACCTTGGGACTTAGTCAGTTCTTGCCTTGCTTCTTTTCTGTCTTTTAAATGTTAAGCGAAGTCAAATATTTATGGCTTTGTTACTGTCGGGTTCATAAACCCGGGGTCCCCAATGAGTCCGCTTTCTAGTAAAAACTCAGCCCAACGGACGGCGTAGTGACAATGCGCGTCTTCCGAGCCGGCCCAGATACCTAATGACAGGCCGAGAGAACAATCCGATCCCCGACCAGAAGGCCTGGCCAAGGTGGGGACATAGTCCGACTCCGACCTCCTTTTTCGATCGGGGATACGCCGGACCTCTGCTCGCAGCTCTTCCCCGACCGACATGGTTGGGGCCGATTGGGAACGACCGACCGGGGATGCCCGCTCGGTGAGGGTCCGGGATTAGGTGGAGTAGATAAGGTAAGGCGCTCAAGTCAAACTGCAATACCGAGAACTATACCCTGTCATACCCTGCGCACCTACAGGACGGTGCCACTAGGCCATGCCAGATAGGCACTATGCAACCTTCCAGGCGTGTCAGAACCCAAACAGTATTGTAGGCGTCGACATTTGCCATACCAGGGGAACACGGTAGAGCCTGCCGCATGCATCTGGACATAAACAGTATTATGGGTGCCGACGACCGTCTCGTACCCGATAGCATGGCCAACAAAACTAGGTAGCATACGTATACATTCTCTCTTTCTCTGACTTATAAGAGCCCATCCCCTTTAACTATAAAAGGGGATGAGCTCTCTCCTAAAAAGGGATCTGGCTATTCTGACTCTGGCTCTCTGGCTCTCCTCAAAAAAAGAGAAGTTAGACGATTCGAGCACTCATGGATCCGAGAACTCGAATAGCTCAATAGCTCTAGAACTCTAAAGCTACATAGAGCATACGCTCCAATACTTAGCGCACGTTAGAGCCTCCGTCACTCTCGGCTCTTCGGTTCAAAGTCCGACCGGGCCTTTAACACCCCCTTCTTATTCATACTCGTTTGTAACCCCACAGCAAACTTTGAGCACCTAGGCTCAGGAATAAAGTCACCGACCGACTAAAACTGGACGTAGGGCATGTTGCTTGAACCAGTATAAATCCAGTGTCATTGAGTGCTAGGCCACATCCGATCACAACGCACGGCAAAACTATAAATATTTACTTGTTGGTCACTTTTCGCACCGACAGTTGGCGCCGTTCGTGGGGAGGACACCGTGCGTTTACACTTTTGGTTATCGGACGGCCCACCTTTCCACCATCTTTGTCATGGCGGGCTCGAGCGATACAATTCATGGCTCGCTAAAGTTCCCCATGCTCCCACCCGTTGGGATGTGGGTTCCTCCCGTCTTCGTGCCACTTCAGACCTTTCTCTTTGGGAGTCTGGACTTCATCACTGACTGCCTCTGCGTACTCCGCCTCCACGAGGAGGCACTCGTCCCGGCATCCATTGGAGGAGGAGCGCCATCCACCGGCCCCGGGCCACCCGATGACCTCAACGTCGAAACCCTCACGCTTCACCTCGAGCCCATGCTGGGCTCAAACTCCACGGTGAGTAAAGTATATGTTGTTCTTTACTCATTATTTAACACCTTCCGCCGACTCTGGAGGAACCTCGTTGTCCCCACTGTGACCGCCGTACGACCGGTTCCTCTACGGCTTCGCGTCCCCTAGGGACGCGTACACGAGGGGGCTCGAAGGATGCTAATGTCGCCCCCTCTCACATCCGAATTCGTGGGATGGCGGGCTACGCTCCCGCCTCCTTTCACGACCCCGTAGATGATGAGGTCGAAAGCGACGGCTCCAGCATCGGCGACGTCGTGGCATCTTGCCACCCTATGTACCGGGAGTGCACTATGGCAGATGCCCTGGGACAGCCACTGGTGGTAGCAGAATCTCTGTAGACTCACACCCCTCCAGACCCTTTTGTAAGGGCCCCCGCGCGTGCGTGGGAGTTACGACAAAGGCGATAGAGTCAGCCACCACCTGCGCTGGCGCCCTCAGCGTAGTACGCTACACCACGTGCGTGTAACCCGGTGAGTGGCGCTCAGGGTCGTGCCTGCTAGCTTCAGCGTAACATCCTGGATGGGGGGAACGGCCCCCCATAGTTTGCTCGGGCTGGCCAGAACATCGATGTTGCATCGATGCTTCTGTGTGGCCTTCCTAAGCCTACCGACCCCTAGGAACAGGCAATCCACGGAACCTCTGAGCGCTTGTGGAAACCACCGCCATTCAATAGGCGGAGAGCTCCGCGTCGCGACACTAGGTCGCGGCCTCTTGCCCTACCGGGGGAATGGGGCCGCACCAGTCGAATCGCTCCATCCACTCACCACTACAGTGTCGGGAGTGGGGCAGGAGGCCATGGCTGCACCACAGCTCGACCCGGCGCCCGCTCCACACCGACCACCTGTGCGCGAACAGCTCGGGCCAAGCCATGATGGTCGTAGCGTCATCAACAATTGACGCCATGCCCGGCACGATGATGACGTCCATCAAGTGGTGGTGAGAGCAGGCGGCACGGGCCCCGACCTGACTATCGAGGAGTGCGGGGACGCACATCCCAGGCATGGTGGCCGACCAAACGATCAGAGCCCTAGCTCGAATGGCCCGGGGCCATGGGCCTTTGGTCGTCGCATCTAGAGAGTGTCGTTCCCACAGCACTTCCGACCACCCACCAACATCACCAGATACACCAGGGAAACGAACCCCGGTATATGGCTCGAAGACTTCTAGCTCGCCTACCGAGCCAGAGGAGTGGATGATGACCACTTCATCATTCAGTATCTCCCCATCTGTGTGGGGGAGCATGTTCGAGCATGGCTCAAATTCCTCCCGCCCGACAGCATCCGCGACTGGGCGGATCTCAAGAGGGTCTTCGTTGAAAATTTCTGGGGGACATATGTCCGTCCTAGGAATTCCTGAGACCTCTAGAGCTGCCAACAGGAGCCCAACAAGTTCCTACGAGATTACATCCATAGGTTCTCAAAATGGTGCAACTCCGTTCCTGATGTCGTTAACATGGATGTCATCAGCATGTTCCTCTTTGGGACAACCTGTGAGTCCTTGATCCACAAGCTCGGCTGTCTGAAGCCCCGTACCACCCATGACCTGCTCGACATCACCATGAACCACGCCTCCGGCGAGGAGGCGGTCGAGCGGTCTTCAGCGGTGATCAGGACAAGGGCAAGGCCAAGCGCGAGGACCAAGGCGAGGGCCCCTCCACACAAAGGGGCAAGAAGAACAAGAAGGATTGGTGTCGACCGGCCAACATAGCTTAATTCACCGTCAGCCAATCGTGCGGGCAAGCAGCCCCAGCAGGGCCAGCCCGACCACTTCGACAATGAGGTAGAACCTCCTAAATTATAGGGCTCACATGCACCTGTCACTGTCCAACGACCTTTGACGTCTATGCATACGTTCCCGATAACTTAAGAAGACTGTCGGGTGTCCTCGGGGAACCCCGAATCATCCACGATTTCGAGCAGGATCACATTATAGAGTCATTGCAGTATTACAACAGTTTATTCAAATAGATACACCAGAGTAAAAACAGCGGAAGTCTTACAATAACATAATTTACAA